TTAAAATGCTTCTCGCCTGAATGGACCACCTGTGCCTCTCAAGGTGGGCACTCTGAGCGAACTCCTTCTTGCACTCTCCACACTTGAAGGGCTTCTCTTCGGTATGGGTCCTCAAATGCCGTCGCAGGTCGCCCCCTGCAACAAACTTCTTCTCGCACTCTGTGCACTCAAAGGCCTTCTCGCCGGTATGGGTCTTGAGGTGCCTTTTGAAGTCCCTACCGTCTCTGAACTTCTTGCTGCACTCATAGCACTCGAAAGGCTTCTCTCCCGTGTGCGTTCTCAGATGCCCTCGAAGAAGACTGCCTGTACTGAACTTTTTGGTGCAGACCGCACACTCCAACGGCTTTTCACCAGTGTGTGTGCGCTTGTGAGTGTAGAGGTGTGCTCTTTGGGTGAACTTCTGTTTGCAGACAGCACACTCATAGGGCTTCTCCCCTGAGTGGACGCGGCGGTGCTTTTCAAGGTCTTCCTTACGAGAAAAAGCTTTCTTGCACACTTCGCACTCAAAAGGCCTCTCTCCGGTGTGGATACGGAGATGCATCCGCAAGTTAAATTTTGTTTCGAAAGTCTTGTCACACACCGTACACTGCAAAGGCCTCTCCCCTGCGCGGGTTCCGATGTGAGCTTGAAGGTGAAGGCCTGACTCGGACCTCTTCAGGCCAACGGGACAGTTGGCGAGCATTTTTCGTGCACGAGCGAGGACTCGGAGCGATGGAGTGCAGGTTACTGTAACGAGACATAGGGGATACACTATAAAACACAACCCTCGACCCAATTGTCAAAGAACGGTGGATACAACAGAGCGTTGCATTTATAACATTCAAACGAATGCACACAAGACGAAAAGATGGATACGATCGAGTCATTGGTAAGTAAATAAAGAGTAGTACTAGGTAATAAATATAATGAAAGTTAACAGTTCAATCAACTTTTCTGAAAGTGTTTTTGAGTAAAGGTGAAAGATGTACTTTCAATAGAAATCTTCGGCTAGTTCAAACACGGAACGACAACCCTACTCAAGGAAAAGAATAAAATTCACCCTTCAGCTCAAGGTACCGCTAGAGTAATTCCGAGCCAGAATGCCTCTTGGAAACTTCCCTGAAATGTATACGGCTATAGTGTAGTGAGATATTGGCAAGTCTGGGACGCAGTTTCTGTTTATGTGCTACTTCTTATTCTTCCTTAAGTCGCCAGCGACTGCAATGGCGTAGTAGTATAGAAAATGTACTGACTGAGGAGTTAATTCACCATTACGTAAATGGGTGTAGCAGAAAATCGTGCGTCAAGCACAGCAATACGTACCAGGGCTGACAGGAATCCGAGTGTCCGTCTAAGCTCGCGGTGACTCCAGTCCATCAACTACAATTGCGACAGAAACGTCAATGAGTATTTAGTACACTTAATTTTGATGTGTTGGTCTACGGTCTGGTGTGAACACAACACGTACTCACTGGGCTGCATCTCTGGACGGCCAGGCTGACGAGGACAGTGTAGGCGTACACCACGTCGATCCAAGTCTTGCGTAACGGTTTTTCGTTGTGATTTCACGAGCTGCTGCACTGCCTCTAGTTACGGACGACCATTTAATGTGTGGCTGACAAGACTCCGCTGGAGGGGACCGGAAGCAAATCCAAAAGAATTGCGTACAGATCAATCTCAAAGTTTTCTTTTACGAATCCCAAGTCAAATAACAAAATTAATAACTAAGTAACAACGTGCCTTGGCTACACACTAATTTTTTTGGACAAATTTTGTACGAGTGCGTTGTTTATATTTGAGCACATATAAGGCACATTCTATTAGTACGCCATTTTGCACCTACTTAAAGAAATTTGCAGATTCCCGTATGAAAATCATAGGAAAAGTTCGTTTGTACGAACAGCTGTAATATGTCGTATTGTACGTAAAATTTAGTAAGTAGCGATAGCTTACTGACAGGGAGAGCCACGACCGTAAACACAATATTCAACAAACGAGTCACGATTCACATTGGTTTCCACGTGACGTCAGAGTGTGTCACTATCTGCGGTGGCCATACGGTAGCTGGCACTCGGGCTCATCTCCCATGCAAGAAATCTCACTCTGAAATTTCAGACGACTCAAATTTCCATTTTTGCTGTAAATATGCAGAGAAAAATTCACGAAAAAAATAGGTTTCTGTTAGCTCAAAAGTAGTGATGTTGAAAAGAACCAGCCAATTTTCTTTCCAAGAAATTTTAAGTGTACTCTGTCACAAATTTGAGCCAACTCGCACACAGTTTATGTAGAATTCGTACGTGTAACAAGCACGATTTTGTGCATACGTAATATTTGTAAACTATGATGCGATCAAGTGCATAAATGTATGCAAATTTGTGAGTTATTATGCAAAACTGTTTAACAGGTCTTAAATAATGTAACGCCGCGTACCAAACATCTGTAAACATTCAGCGTGTGGTGCCATTAGCCATCTTGCTGTCGGAGAACATGTCAAGACCCCTGAGCTAACTTACCGTAGACTGTACCATACCGGTGTCTGATTGTTTTATTTGACACGAGGCACGCCAGCGAGATTCAACAGCAGCGAGGCGAGTCTTATCAGCACGCTACCAAATGCGAACGACTTTGTCCGATTTTGTGGAGTGAAGCCGTGTTCAAATGGACGCCAGGTGCTTGTTCGAGCATCTCAGCCTCCTTAGCTCAGGGGTTAGAGCACTGGTCTCGTAAACCAGGGGTCGTGAGTTCAAATCTCACAGGGGGCATCTCTTTTTCCAGTTTGAGGCTCGTGGAACACTAGGTCGCTGCAGTACCACTATCCAAAGAGGCAACGACTGGTAAATTTCATGTCAGCTGGATTACGGATTGTCCAAGGATTGTCTTTGAAATAAACTCAATTTTTTTTTTTCCAATTAGTACCCTGATAACGAATTACCAATGAGCCTTTAGGTCACCAGCTGCGCTATTCCCTTCGCGGCGTGCACCCAGTGCTGTTGGCAGCGAGGCAAATCGCCAAGCCAGAAGCTGGGGTTCAATTACTGACGACTCAGAGTTGGATCACATTCAAAGAAAACTGTTCCTGGTTTTTCCAGGTACTCTCTCATTCCAGGAACGTGAAACGTGAACGTCGAAACGAATGTGACGAAATGTCACGTTCCTTTGAGTGTTGTGTCGCATTAGTTTGAATGTGAATCAGACATAACTTAGCTTATCCTCATTCAAACGAATGTCAATATTTGAGCATTTTCGTGTATCTCATCTTCTATTGTAGTTGGATGGACTTGGATTTAGTTAGGAACTGGAGAGTTCCGGGGAAAGCCTTGAATTGTTTTTGCCGTGCAAGGAAGGCAAGAGGACTTTGGAATGGAACTAGATTGACTGAAATATTCATATTAAAGCTTGGCAAGAGTAACGAACGTGACATTTTGTCACGTTCGTTTCAACGTGATGTCACGTTCCTGAAACGAGGGAGTAGGCACATACATGTACGTAAGTGACTTGTTTCCTGACAATTGAGGGACGATGTCAGAGAGGTTTCCCCAGCGAACAACGGCCGAAGAAAATTCGATTCCCGCCAAATGGATTAGTTCCTTGACACCTTAACTGAGTCAACACAAACTGTCGTACAAAAGCGTGATGAGTGTGAATGAACACGGAAAGAAGGAGGGAGAGATAAGTTCTCAGATAAACTTTAATTTCTTGATACATGATAGTAGAAAATAAGAATACAACTGCAACGAGGCAGCAACTGCCAATTAAGATAACTTTCACAAAACAATATTTCAAACTGGTGATTGTAACAATATCAATTAACCTATGCAGGAATTGAGCAGGGCACACAATGCCAAAATAACACAATAAAATAACCATACGAATTATGATATCAAATGATTCAAAAACAAAAGTGCTTAGAGACTAAAGGAACTGAATAATACTACAAACTAAGCCCAATTACAATCATGTAAGGTGGATTTCAAGAACTGTATTTCCTGTTGGCTCAACACAAACACCCCTGTAATGCTTACGTTCAATTCCTGCAAAGAAAACATTTTTTCCCCAAATTCTCTTTAAATAATGTTGATTCAGAGATATCTAGCGGCACACCTTGAACTCTCTGCAATGGCTTTGGAACCTCCACCCACGTCACAGCGCTGTGGGAATGCAGCCCGGGTGGGTGCCTTTCAGTTCGGGACACTTGGAGAGCACGCTTGCTACCGCTCTAGCAATAGTTTCATTCAAGGGACGGTATTTCCGCGCCGCGATGGGCACAGCAGCACTGTTGAAGACACGCAGGGCCGCGTTGGTCCGACGGGCACCCTGACGGAGCTGCACCGCGGAGCGCTCACTCATGGGCGGCAACAGTGGCACGGTAAGAGCGCGCTGTACAGCTGCATACAGGGCGGGCACGTCTTTCCGGAACTCATGGCGAAGCTTTTGACGAAGAATGCACGACAAATCAAAGCTGGCCCGAGAATACTCTGCCCTAAATGACAACAGCTCTTGATAAAATTTGTGGTTGGGCTTGTCATATCGACCGCCCGACTTGTCTTCCTGAGACTCCAGGCAACGCTGAACAACTCGGCAGTCCTCAAAGCCGATCAACGATTGCTTTGTGATATTGATTGCTAATCTTATTACATTGTCCACTAATGTGCGAGCCTTGTTTTCACGGGTCATGCAGGAAACTCCTGTCGTCAATATTATTCTTGAGATGAGGAAATCCTGGAACTGGTTCCCCATTAGAACAGCTTCATGCCCCTCCATTCGGCTCAAAATTGATTTCCAGCCTGAGTTCAAGTCCTTCTCTTGGTCTGGATCACTCTGAAGCTGAGCAAATACCCCATCAAAGGCTACTAAGCAAGAAGTAAAAAGAAATTCTCCCAATTTCAGATTGATTGAGTCCATAATGATCTTTTCTTTCGGATCGGACTTTACCACGCAACATAGCAGGTCAGCTAATCCTTTCCGGTGACGGAGCACAAATTCTGTAGATGAAGTGTAGGTCACCCAGGGATCATCCACCCCGACAAAGTTGCAATGGCGCCTCAGCATTGGGAACCATTTGCTATCTACGGCAAATTTCTGCCTCAATGTGTCGATTGTGCTGAGAACGGTAACGCAAATGGCATCGTCCGGGTGGACAGATTCGTAGAATGCAACGGCCAAACGTTTGTCGAGGGGCTCCGAGATGCTGTCAGCTCTCGAAATGCCCCATCCGTCTTGCTGTGCGAGTGCAACGAAGAACGGCACAAAGCTTCCACAGTCAGGTGCACTCAGGAATTCCAGACGCATTTGGCTTGCAATACCCGCCTTTTCACAAAGCTCCTTGAAACGTCTGAATAGCGAGATGGCAAACTCCTTTCCTTGTCCATTAAAGGCCCTAAAATTAAAACCCACAATTAGACACATTGCTGGAGACACCTGCAGTAAAGAAAAACAAATGACGCGAAGCATCTTGAAAAGGATGCTTTAATTATGCAAACAGGGTGCAAGGAAAATCTCTCTGCTATTTCCGTACTGAGATTCCAAACGCTATGGACAAAGCACGTGCGGCGCAATGCATTCACTGCAAATTGAATGGAAAGACTTCGCGCCGAAGTATGGCGAGATATGAAGTCTAGCCAAATTTCGACGCGTCCTAATAGAATAATCCTAACTGCCAGGGTAGATCCAAGACAATCCTAACTGTTAGAGCAGATCCAAGACAATCCTAACCTTTCCTGCCACTGCAGAACTATCCTAACTGCACATCACGTGAAAAGCGGTGTTCTCTCAAAGTCCGCGACGCCAGCATACTGCATGAAATCACTCGCCGAAGGGCTTATTACAAAGTTTCATCCTTATATAAATACGTGGACAATGTATTTCAGGTACATTGAGATTCTCTGATTTGCAGTGAAGATACTTCATGAACACTTTTAGGTACCTCGGCAGAGTTAGGATAGTTCTAAATCTGCACTGGCAGTTAGGATTGTTTTAGATCAGCTCTGGCAGTTAGGATTGTCTTGGATCTGCTCTGACAGCTAGGATTATTCTATTAGGACGCGTCGATTTTGGTCAGACAAAACGTCTTGCCACAAAATGGCGAGACCTCGTTGTCAGACCGCCGAAAAGGCGCCAATCAGCGCCTTTCCGCTGCAGCGCCATGGGCGCCTTTTCGGCGGTCAGACAACCAAGTCTCGCCATTTTGTGGCAAGACATTTTGTCTGACCAAAATTTGGCGAGACGAGTGGCGAGAAGTCTGACCTTTCAATTTTTAGACTTGTACGTCGCTCTCACCTTCTGTCCTGCACCAGCAGCAGGCGTTCATCTGGGCTACCAGTAATGGATACGTATCGCACCGACAGCGACACAAGCTCTTGGTCAGCCGTCACCTCCCGGTCCAGAAGAAGCGCCATGAGTCCCGCCGAGCCGGCAACCACCAACGCTTCCAAAGCTACCTCCTCTGATAGGGACTCCAGTATTGCCTGATAGGACAAAATCATTGAATTAGGAACTTGCACAGCAAGAGGGTCCCTTAGCCTGCAAGTACACGCCGGGCGGCGCATGATAAAGTGATTGATGCGTTTCAATGAAGACTGAAATTCGGGACGCTTCATGACGTGATGCCCGTAGACTTCTCCATGTTTGGCCGCAGTGTCAAAGAGACACTTACACCAAGAACGCAACGTATTCTGTGTTATTGCAGTTGCAATGTCCACTGAATACTAAAAATACAAGTAGTTGCCATCAAACGTGCACACAATTCAGTGCAAACCCGATTGTGATCACACTGCAAAAGTGTGGGACAGTCTCTCACCATTGAGCGTTAGCGGAATGTTCACGCTAGAAAGTGTGAACCACATATGCTACGAGTTACGACACATGTGTGAAACATTGATCAGTTAGTGTGGGACATGGTGCCTGTGGTTCAATGCCACGAGTCCCTCGCTGGCAAATGAAAGACAAACCGTGTCTCACAATTGCGAGCGTGGAACAAATGTGGCTTACGCTTGCAAGCGTGAGACATTTTGGTTCACCTTAAATGAGTGGAACTGTCCCATACTTGGATTTGCAGTGCAATCATGGCTCAATACTTCGGAAAAATTGGGAAAGGGTTGTAACTATTGAAAAACGGTCCTCAGTTTTGCCCTAAGATGGAAGTTACGAGCGCTGATAAGGCACAAGGCATAAGGTTTTTTTACCAATCTCTAATGAAACATGCACTATCACGTTCATTTGTGAAGTGTGCGTTACAGTCGTTTTGAAGTCGCTCCGGTCTCAATAGGGCCTTGACATCGTACCTGACACTGGTTAGGCGATCGGTGGGAAAGTAGTTCAGGACGCTGTCGATCAGCTGGCTGCTGAAAGCTTTGCCATACTTCTATCATGGTATTGTTGTCAAATATGGCTCCATTTTTAATTTCATTACTGGCTTGATCCCCTGAAAACATTTAAATCGCAGGTCAATGCAAAGGCGAAATTTTACTGAATTTCAATAAAATTTGATTGAAATTCATTGAATTTTGATGAAAATTCACCAAATTTTGACTGAAATCCATCGAATTTTGACTGAAATTCGCCTGAATTTCATCAAATTTATACCAAAATTCGACTGTCATTCATCGAAATTCGACTGAAATTCATTGGATTTGTTCACCGAAATTCGACTGAAATTCATTGGATTTGAACACCCATCACTATGATTTCCCCTTGCGCTCGCGTTCCTCTCTCAAGGAGGCGACGCCTCCGGTACGTACACGGCAACGGGAGCTTTTAACGGCCCCGGATTTAGCCGTAATAAATAAAATAAATAAATAAAAACGTAGAGCAAAGGTGTCCACGTGGTGACTTCTTCCGTACAATCAGTAACACTCTCATTCCAGGAACGTGACAACACGTTGAAACGAACGTTCCTTGTGTCTCATTCCTTTGAAAGTAAATAAGATAATTCATGGCTGATTCACATCCAAAGGAATGTGACACATGGTCAAATCAACGTGGCATCTTGTCACGTTCGTTTCAACGTGATGTCACGTTCCTTGAATGAGAGTGAATTCTTAGAACATGTCTGGTCACAAAAAGACGTTTGCATTCAAGTTCCGCCCGAGTACCTTACCAGTGTCAACGTCCATGGGTTCCTCATCCGCAGTCTGAGTGAAGTGCTCTGGGACGTATGCAGCACGAGAGCTCTTGGAAACAGAAAGTTCTTTGAAGCCAAAGTCCAACAACAGTTTCTCAGCACACGAAATGGCTTGCTTGCGCGCTTCTTGGACTGATGAACTTTCTTTCTCTTGGATCAACTGGTGATGTCTGGCCTTACGCAAGCTCTCCATCACCTCGTCAACCCTAGCCCGACAGAGATCTAAATCCTGGTTGGAAGCTTCAGGGTTATTATCCAACCATTTCCGATACCATGTTTTGAGCTGAATGAGGAGACTGTCATCGTCCTGGTTATCCTTGAACTCCTGTCAAAAAAAAAAACAAAACAACGGGGAATGAAGGTCCTTATTGTTCCTAAAACGATGGGCAATGCATACCAAATATTATTTACGAGGCATCACAATTTTTAGTGCACACGAACTTTTCGCACAATTTTTGTACGAAAAACTGCACACATTTCTCCATTTTTGTGCAAAATCGTGCACAAATTTGTATGAAAAATTCGTGTGCTCAAAAAACTGTGACGTAACCGAGGATGTAACGTACAAAATTAGAAATCAGAAATATTGAACTCAGTCATACGGTAGGCTAAATTTTTGGAATGTAAAAGCTATATTTAAAACATATTGAACCAACATTCCAGGAGCATCACGTTGACAGAGAAAAAATGCCACTGAAGCATTGTATCATGCTCGTTTGAAGAGACAGCCTTAGTTAATTGAATTCCCAGTCAAACGAGCGACACACAATGCTCAAAAGAGGGTGACATTAAGCCACGCTCTTGGAACGAAAGTAAATTCGTTTCATGGCAGACTTCGGCCTAGGGCAACCCTGCGCTTCTTTGAAGCGCGAGTTTACCCCGAAGCTTGATTTGATTTGCGGTGTGAGCGAGCTAAGGTTGCCAATAATTTGCAGTGTGGTCTCACCTGCAGCCCATTTGTTAGCGTCGCTTCAATCAACGCCGTCAGTCGCACTCTTTCCGCTTCCTTAGCTTGAAGTCGCCGAAACTCAGTCATCTCTGCATCCACGTCCTTCGTTATCTTTTCATATACACTCTGGGACTCTGAGGGGCTTTTCTGAAGCAATTCAAACGACTCTTTCCAATGTTCAACGTACATCTTGGTCACTGAGTACAACCTGTCGTCTTCTTTCGGAATCTGAAACAAAATGCATAGTACTGAACTTCGTGGGGTTGAAGGACTGATTTCTACTCGTTCTTTAATTTGTTGTCGCACTATGTTCGATCATGTCCAATGCACGGGCATTGTTATCATAACCATGATGCTAAGGTAAATATTCCAAGTTTCGTCATTTTCCAAACATAGCAGCGTTTTGAAAAAAAACTAAAAATCCTATTCAAAGAGGCGAAGAGGTTGATTCTGAAGTCTCCATTGACAGACCAAGGTTTTTGAGCGGATAGACCTCAAAACTTATAATTATAACACAAAAAACAACGGTGACTTGCTTGCTAGACACGAGCCTCTAATATGAACGCTTACCTGAACAGAAAGCGCCTCCTGGAGCATGGAGTCAGCCGACGCCTTAGCACGCTGCCTTCGCTCTTCGGCTTGTCTTATTTCCCTTTTGACTTCTGCATCAAGGGCAGATACTTCACGATCAAAGGATTCATGCTGTTGTTTGCAAATGGCTACATCCACCGCAGTTCCACGACTTTCAAGCCAACGTTTTGCATCATGGCAAAGACGCATAATCTTTTCAAAATAGTGCCCAAATGAGGTTTTGTCCTGCAAATTATAGAACGAATAGCAATGACAACGACTGAAAGCATCTCACTTTTCAGTGACCGTGAATAAGACTGTTACAGTGACAAGGTTACTCTTGAGGAAAGCACTTGGGAGTGTGAACGTGGTGAAGCATATAGTTGAGTGTGTGGTCAGCATGCACCCACAAGTCTCCGGCCACAAAAAGTTTCACCACAAGAAAGGTCGTTCACATTGGTTTCGCCGAAAAAAGGGCGATACAAGAATGTGTTACCGAAAGAAAGACATCAGCGAGACTGGCCGTTATTTTCCGGGGCGAAACATCGCCCTTCAAGGGTGACGCACTAAAGTAGCACCCATGTACGGCGATACATTGAAGTATCACCCTCTTTTCGGTTGTGCGTTAGTAATAAATTTCACAATTGTAAACCTTTTATGTCTTCCTTTAGCGTTTTAAACGGCACTCAACGCCAAATTGGTCAATAAACTAGCGAATTTCGCCCTTTCTACACTTTTGAGTACACTGAGTACGGGCGACCTTAGGTACACTAGTGATTCACCTCTCGGTGCTGGGGCACAAGCTCTCTACCATTTAGGTAACGTACCGTCCAGCTTACAGTGGTCTTGATTACAGCATTTTCAAAAGATGCTCTGGCTTCTTCCTGCCGCTGCAATTCAGCGTGCCGCTCTCTTTGACGCTCCAAGTCGCTAACCCTTTCCAGAACATGATCAAGTTCCTGGTCTAATTTCGATTTCGAAGAACTTTCATGCACTCCAAATTCATCGAGCTGCATTTCACAGTAGTTTTTCAATTCCAATGCCTTCTCACGGAACGGGTCCTCAGGGATCTGCCGAAAAAACAGGTTGTACAGACGGTGGCATTTCGGTGATTTGTGGTAGAAGTATCATTCTGTACTTACTTCAGCCGCTATTGTAGCCGCCAATGCTTCACGTAGTCTATCCTTTGCGGCCACTCTCTGCTGTTCATTCATTCGCTTATCACGCAAATGAGCAACCCGTCCTTCAACTTGGATGCGCCTTTCGTCATAAACTTTGGCTTGCTCGTCACTATTCTCAGCGAGCCAGTCCAAAAGTCGTCCACATTCGTCTCGGAGTTCCATGGCCTCCTTGTGAAATAAATCGTCTGGCAAAGCCTGTGGTTGACCATTCATAAAATAGATAAATTTAAAAAGAAAAATTACAACACAACAACAATTAATAAGCGAATAACATCAATAGAGTAATGCCCATGGACATTGATACTATATTAAAGCAGGCAGACTCGTTCTTTGACGTGGTTCAACATCAATGTACACTAAGTGTCATGTCGGTGTAAATACTGACCGGGAAGATAAGAAATCAAGATACATACTGTACTATAGGAACCTCGCATACAGGCTCAGTATTTTCCTTTCATTTTTAGGCAAAGTGACTTTCGAATGTCGAACGATGCATCGTTGCTTTCAGAATTGCACAAAGAAGTGTGTATGAGTTGTACTTTTGATTATGAACCATGTCAGGCAGAAAAGAGCAGTGAGCACAATACTCGTTCTATGGACGTGACCGAACAGCGATAATAGACTAAAGAACGAGTAAAAAGCATTTAACAAGAAGTACAGGATAGGATACACGCTACTTACTCTTTGTGCAATCCTCCTATTCATACTTAGGGAAGAGAGTTTTTCAACAACAGGCGAGACTCATTAATGAGTAATAGCACGAGTCAGTTTTCGGCTCACACTTAATTACTAAGTACTTCTTCGTGCACAAGATTCGCACAAAATTGAGCATGCGTTTCGAGATGCAGCAATACGTGCGAAACTAAGCACAAAAGAAAGCGTTTGTTGCGCTCGAGCAAATCGGATCGTATGCTCAATATTGTGTACAGCTACAGCTTATGCACAAAAAAAAAGTTCTCTGTAATTTAGTGTGCTTAGTTAAAGCGCATTGCTTCACTACGATGAAAAGAGGGGCATTAAAAATCATGTGCCGGGACTGACCTGTTTTCCACGCTCCATACGAAGCAGTTCATCCAATGCGTTTTTGGACTCGATTCTCTCTGATTCAGTAAGCTCATTTTGCTTGTAAGTGTCCATTCTTTTCCGGTGTTTCTCAATGCTGGCGGGAGTAAGGCACCCTGACAACAAGCATTTCACCTCCCCACCGCCGTCGCGGACATGCAGCAGCCCACTTGCGTCTATTTCGACATACTTCATGCCTCTTCTTCTAAAGTTAACTACAGGTGCCCGCTGCCCGATTTGGATCTCTTGATGAACCTAGTCGCAACACAACAAACAAATATTCGACCTTGAGAAGCGGTGGGAGGCAGGCCTGCTCAGCACGGGCGTTCGGCGACTGCCTTCGTTGACCCCAAAGAAAGAAACATGAGAAGTAGGTGAGAAAGTTTTAGAAATTGTACAGTCACTCCCTATTGAGGATTTCAGTACAATGTAGTTATTAAATTTTAAAATTGTGCATAGCTTTTGCACAAAAAACTACACCCTCAGATTCTTATGATGAAAGGACCATCGTAACATACGTTGAAATGAGAACATACGTACTACAATAAAATTCATGCGTAATACGATGAAATTCATGCGTAATACGATGATATACATGCGTAATACGATAAAATTCATGCGTAATACAATAAAAAATTAAGCATATTACGCATGTGCAAATTTATGCGTACCTTACGATGAAAAACCATCGTAATACGTATAAAAACGATCATAAGATGTTGAGTGTGTACAAAGTAATTTAATATGTACACAATCATTTAAAGGAAGAAACTTCAACAAATTTTTTACGTGGACCGAGTAGATTTGCGCAAATTCCCACGAAAAGCACGCGTGCTCTCAACTTTAGGTGAGACCGCGTACAAAAATTGCACGAAAGAATGTTGAGTAAAACATACGCTCGTGAATCCGAAGGTTACCTCAATCGCCTGATTCCAAAATTTTGAGGAATCCCGACGTTGCGGGAGTTCAGTGTTCCGCGCAAAAATACTGCATTTCTCCGCCATGGTCACCTCGGTCTTGAGTGAGAGCACCTCTCGCTTCACTTCGACAAAACCTGCTGCCAAGAGGGCGGCACCCTCGGCCACCGCCTCGTCCGGGTTGATGGCTTTACTGAGCGGCTTGCCCGGCAATTCTTTCTGGATGAGGGTGCGGAGGAGGGGGATCCGGGTGGACCCACCGACAAGGAGCACTTCGTGCACTTCATCAACACGTACCTAAACAAACAATACAGACAACATCCAGTCAAATATTTCAGACGAACATTATCTGCGCGCCAAATTTTATTTCAAGAGCCTCTACGCAGAAGGAAATAAAGTTGATAGTTTTGACCACTTGCGCGGGCTAGTTTCTAGAAGGATTCCCATTTCCTTACCCCTTCCAGTGTTCTGAGAAGACCATCCGTGATCTCTCGAAAAAGATCTCCACACTGCGCCTGAAAGTCGGACCGGTTCACGTCTGCGGCGAACTCCAGCCCAATTCCCGGCAAGAAGACTACGAAGGATACTTGCGGGATCCGCGACAACTTTTCCTTCGCCTTGACCCAATGGGAGCGCAGAATTTCACGGTCATGAGGGTCATTGACCTCCTTCCCGAGATCTTTCTCGACACACTGCCAACAATTGAAGCAATACATTCCAAATCATCAAAGACATTGCAACAGCGGCGCACTCAGTGTGAGGCAGTATTAACATTCAATATGCGGGGGCATAGGAACGGCGGAGTCGATGCAAAACGCTCCCCCGCGCCCGTTCGATCCCTGAAGAGAGCCGTCAGAGGCAAAGAGTAACAGTTTGGAACAATGAGGAGGCCTCACCTGTCCGAGGAACTCCATCATCTTGTTGTCAAAATCCTCGCCACCGGGGAGTCGAGGCCCAGAGTGCGCCTGCACCCACACCTGGTTGCACTCCACCTTTACGACGGACATGCTGCTGCCGCCTCCGCCGATGTCCACCAAGACCACGGTCTTCGGGTCCTCCCGGTCGTGCGCGTACGCAACGGCAGCAGCTGTGGTCTCGTTGACCAGTCCAGTCACTTGCAGGCCGGCCAGGTGCGCTGCAACAGAGACGATGCTGTCGTTGACTGTCCTTGTACGTAGGACAATTTGAAAGCGTAAGACAATTCCGTGTCCGTGTGAGACAGTTTGTCCCACACTCTAAATGTCTCACAATGAAATTTGCACTCTCAGCACGTTATTGACTTTTTGACCATTTTGTCAGTACTGATGCAAATAGTTTGTGCAAGCATAATACGTACTTTTTCTTTTTTAAAGATCTTCTTAGGAAATGTTAAATAATGTTATGAGAAATTTATTTAGTACATAGTTTCACAAAGGAAATTAGTCATTTTGAAAATACTAAGTATTACTGCTGTTTATACAAATACTTAATTAATGAGGAAAAAGTCAGTAACGTGCTGAGAGTGTGCCCTAGGTTATTCGTATGTTACAGTGAATTCGGCGCAAGCATAATACGAAGCATATAATACGAATATTCCTTCGTAATACGAATATTTTAAGCTTTTTCATTGTAAAATACAGAGAGAAACCTTTGTAACGAAGAAAACCCACCTTCGTATTATGCTTGCGCCATTTCCTTCGTATTATGATAAATTTCTTCGTAAGACATTTAGAGTGCACGTCATCTGGTGCATGCCTGTCTTGGACATGCAGTGTAGGCACACTCCGGATCTTGTGCAGTACTTACCCGCATCGATCACGGCTCGTCGCTGACAAGCACCGAAGTACGAGGGCACGGCGACGACGGCTCTGTTCACTTTCACCGCTTCATTCAATTTCGATGCAAGTTGCGCCTCCGCAGACTTCTTTAGCTCCAGCAGCACCATGGCTGCAATCTTAGAAAGAAATTCAATACATTATTATCCTGAATTGCACGTCAACGCACTCTCATTCCAGGAACGGACAAAATGTCACGTTGCTTTGATCAAATTGTTTTACATTCGTTTGGATGTGAATCGACCATAAATTACCTTCTTCACATTCAAACGAGCCTGACACAATTATCAAAAGGAACGTGACACTTTGTCATAATCGTTTCATGTGATGTCAAGTTTCTGAAATGAAAGTGCAAGAATAGAGGGTCATTCCTTTTGACAGTTGAATAAATCTGGATTAAAGCGTAAACGATTTCGATCAAATTTGAACCGTGTAACCTTAATTTAAAAACGATGCAATGATCTTGGGCGCGATTGACTGTGCTTAAAAGTGCACATAAAGGATATATTATATACATCCTACGTGGATCTCCAATGAACAGGACGACCGTCCATCCTACTTTTGTCTCACGTCTGCCCAACTCTGTTCCCCTTTCTGTGGTCTCATCAGAAATACTTTTCACATTTATTTTGTAGCACAGAAGTGAGGCGGATGGCGTTTGCTCATTGGAGAGTCACCTTCCAGTGGGAACAAAAACTAACAACTTACTTCTTCTGATTGGAAACATTTCATGTTGGCGATTTTCACAGCAATCGCATTAGTTGGAGAGGTTCCCTCGATTCGGACAGCACCCAAGGGAACTCGATCACCAAGTGCGCTCATTGTTACTCCAAGGACCGATTTCACATCTGAAAATAATTTAAGGCAGATAAAGAGACCGCACAGTTCAAAGGGCATGAATGAAACGTCCCGCCGTGAGAAGGCCGAAAAGAATTTTCACGCCAAACATAGGTGGGACACAGTATTCAAACCAATTTTTCGAGTAACTACTGTGTCACGGGTACGTTCGGCATAACTTTCTCCTTAATATCCACAGGGTAAATTCACGCCAGGAACACTCCAAGGGGTTACCAACTGAAAAAATCGTTTCTCCGGGAATCACTAATTTTTTTTTTTAAACATTTCATCGAAAAATTTTGAAGTGTAGATTTTGAAGGAAAGTTATTCTAATTTTGTGCAAGTGACACGGAACACTCAAAAACATACGAAAATGTTATAAAATCCTCACTTTTCTCGTGGGTTTAAAGGGAATCCGGACTCGTGTGTACACCAGAGGAACAATAACACTGATACTTCTAATGTGGTAAGTTTCATACTATTTGCTGCGATAGAGAGGCTAGTGCGATTCCTTCAAATTATCGCATCTGTGGCAGCAATAAAAATATTATCACATCAAAAATGCAATAAGTCTCTAAGGTTTTGGCCGGTCTGGGTCCAGATTTTAACAGATTTGGTGTGATGAAATGATAACTACGCTAATAAAGCGATAAATGCGCTAATGCAATACAATAATTATTGCACTTATAATGGAATAACTTTTTCATAGCGCTACTAATGCACTAAAAATGTTATTGCTTTATAAATTGGTTCATTATTACACTTAGAAAATCAGTGAAGGTAACCTCACTCTCACATCACGTTGAAACGAGCGTGACAAAACACCTCCCTGAACACCCGTTCAGGAAGACTGACACCGTAGACTTACTCCGGATGGTGTATTCAGGAAAGCTGGGCGCCATGCGGAGAGCCGCCTCGCCGACCTCCCGATCCTTGTCATTGATGTAGACGCAGCTCGGCGTCTTCCGACTGTCGATGTCGTTGGTGAGGACCTCCACGCCGTCGTGCTGGTAGACGGCCACCACCGAGTTAGTGGTGCCGAAGTCCACGCCGACGATCACTTCCTGGATCGGCATCTCGCCGCCTTGGGTGGATAACTCTCACTGAAATTCACAGGGAAATTGTTTCATACTGCAATTGCTCTGTACAAACTTAACTACACTCTAAATGTCTTACGAAGAAATTGACCATAAGACGAAGGAAAAGGCGCAGGTGGTTTTTCTTCGTATTACGAAGGAATATTGCTTTATATTATGCTTGCAACGAACTCACTGCAACATACGAATAAGATAGGTCAAATTTCATTGTCAGACATTTAGAGTGTACTAAGTACTCACTCCAAAGTGCATACTTGGCAAGTACACACATGCAAATACCTATGCATAGCATCGAGTTACAACAGCGCCAAGCATGCATTTGTTGAGAACTTGAAAGAATGCACTTGCAAGTGTGTACTTATTTGTCAGTTACGTTTGAGATGCGTTTGCGAATCACGAAGATTACAAAAAGTGAACCATGGCTGTACCGCCATACTTAGTACACTCACAAATGCAAGCCTGCTAATGAATACTTGGAAATGCATACTGGAAAATGCATACTTCGACAAGTGCTCTTGCAAACTGCATGCTTTGCCCCCGCAGCCCCACCCATATGCAATTGAAAGTGCATACTTCCAGGCATGCATTTGGAAGTGTTCACACAATGGACTAAGTCTGAAGTGCGAGAATTTTAACAAAGGTCATAAATATTTAAGGACGCACGGCTAGAAAACAAAGATTACATCTGAAGTTATTCCGGTTGCAAGTACGGTGCGTTCCTGGGGAAAGACCAAGACAACGTTCAGAGGAGGGAATGCATACTTCCGGTTTCTAAGACTCACACACCCGGCCCACCGCTAATATATTTCTGACAATAATAAAACCTTTTCAGATCTGGCTCCAGCTAGTTTTACTTACAGGCCAGAGCATCTTTCGAGTGCCCTAGATCGTCCAAGCTAGAGGACATTCACTCCCCCAGGACTACGCACCGACCCTGAAGCCTACGAAAATTTGACGGTCTAATTGCGCCCCAAATCCGGCTACAGTAAATGGAACAAAGTGCTTAGAGAAAGGTTCCCTTAGGCAAATACCCATCGGACACAGCGCACGACTAACCAACGTGTGTACACGCCGTTATTCGATAAAAGTGACGACTAGTCGTCGAAAAAGCTTATTCGATAAAATGTAAATTTGTTCATATCACTTGGAAACATATATCTCGCCGCTATTTCAAATTCACGTTAATACTTCGGCATGCTTTCAAAGGAAGCGTACACCCACCAAAATACAAGTTGAGCCCTCCTCGGTTCGTTAGGCTACGTCATTCCATTCGTTACGTGTCGCGGTCGACTAGAATTTCACATTCAAACGAATAAAGGATGACACCTAGCCTGCGTTGATTAACAGTGTACATACCACGGGACCAACCGAGTGTACGCCAAGAGACGCGCTCTGGCTACGCGGTGTTCCCCGCGATACGCCGGCACAGTATTCCCCGTCGGCACTTGCACGGCTCCAGACGCGACCGGCGGCCACGGCGACACGAGACTGACTGACTGGCCGGCTTGGAGATACCGCCTGCCTGCAGCCCGCACGGTTGCCAGCCCCGTCTGTCCGGCAGCTGTTGCTCTTGCCCGTGTGACCGCGTGCCCCCCGCCCCGAGACGCAAATATCCTGACCTAGGTAAGGAAGTCGGTGTGCCGCCTGAAACTGTGGCTGATTCCACCGAAGAGAAAGGTAAGCGTGGTCTGGTGAACGGGAACTTCTAGGGTGCAAGACACACTCTGCTCATGAACTCAGGCCTGAATTTCTGGACGAATTGGCGGTCCTGGCGACGAAAGTAACGAACTTGTTTAAACGATAAAATGGTTCCCTGAACTCCTGTTCGGGAGGAGTCTCGCCGCTAGGAGCATTTCAGCTGCCCCGAAGTCGCTCACGAAGTTAATCGCGCGTTTGTCGTACCGAACATCAGGTGAGAACAGGCCCTATATAAGGGATCATTTCTGTCTAATACTAACATTAGTTCCACTTCCGGTGTTGGGCTGAAACTTGGTCTCGGCAACTGTCGGAGTTGGCAAATTCACGGCAGAAAAGAATGAAAGCAAACCTCACCGGAAACGCTACGCTTTTGTAATGAACACTGTAGGCAGAGCCCTAAGTGATGAAGTGTGTAAACCGGAAGCAGATGCATCATCCCCAATTTACTGCTACTAGTAGCTCGTTGTCTACACAAATAATGAAGAAAGTTTCATTGAATATAAAAATTACCTTGTACGTTGCCAAAAGCTATTTTCTTCTTCTGTTTCCGGTCTACAATCGTTTTGTTCTTCACTGAGGGCACTTTCAGTGTGTTAAGCCGTTTGAAAATTTACGGACGCCCAGCTAATAGGTGGTTTAGAACACCGTGTGCTACGCGTCTCTTACTTTCCTACCTGAGATTGCCGAACCTAGTTCGATTCCTGAGAAGCCGATCCAGGGATGGAAGAGCACATCCGTTGCCAGTGTGAAATGGCGGTTTCTGCGGTGCACGCACGATTCAGGCTGTGAGCCCAAACTTCCGGTTTGCTAAGTTTGAAGTTTGAACCAGTGACACGCCGTAGAGGGCAAGGGCAAACCTTGCTACGCTTCTGGCCGTTGTCCCTGTCGAGAGAGGTATCACGTCGCATGAACGGGGAGACGCTGAGTCAGCTGCGAGGGGAATACTCTGTCGCGTCCTGCCGGCTCTGCCTCCCCCCCCCCCTCTCTCTCTCTCTCTCTCTCTCTCTCTCTCTCTCTCTCTCTCTCTCTCTCTCTCTCTCTCTCTCTCTCTCTCTCTCTCTCTCTCTCTCATCTTGCTTTATCGCGTGGGCCTCTTATGCTGTTCTCAAGGCGAGTATTCCCCTTTCTGACTCCGAGAGTCGTTTTCGTCGCTCTGTCTCTCTCGCACTCATGGCGCGTCCCGTATAGGTGCGAGAGAGACAGAGCGACGAAAACGCCACTCGGAATCCGTCTGCAAACCGCGCGATCACAACAAAACGCACACTAAGGCAGCTCACTTACACAGGTTGGCTGGTGTTGGTGTTGAGTCTCGCAGCGTCGTTGGTCCTGGTCTCCTCTAAGTCATTCGTGGTGCGGTCGGCACAGGGGACGCCGGTCACTGTTCGAATTTCCAGAAGAAAAATCGCGAACCGAGTGGCTGCTAGGTTAGGATATCCTTATCGGTGAGTCGCGGCTGAAGTGTTGTGAGGAGAGGTGTGGGGAAAGGGGGGGGGGGAGTGCTGCGCTGGGTTGTGTCGCCCGGCGTGTTACGCTAGGACTTGGTTGCAGCGTTGCCGTCTGCTGAGCAACACGGCACAATCGGTGTCCGGAAATTTTCAGTCAACATAACCCTTGCTGTGGGTGGACTACTCTGTGAGCGGTGCGTTCTCCTGCGCGGTCGCAGACCGGAAGTTGGATGAAGTGAAGTCAAGTCCGAAAGTGAATTTTGATTTTGCCGGGTGGAAAGCTTTTGTTTTGGAGGATGTATGTGGAATTTAGCATACGTTTTGCATGTTCCTTTCGGTTTTTTAGTCGTCTGGGATCTAAACAGTTAAGACAACGAGTGTCTGCTTTCTTCTGATGTGATGGTCGTCAATAACCTGGTTGATTTCTGACTTCCGGTCTGTCCTGCTGGAGTTCTCTCATGCCAAGTCTTTTATTTTGCTTCACGTGCTTTTTAATCCTAAAGGGATATTGCGTCTTGGATCGGAAGTAAGAATTCAGGTGTTAAAGTTACTAGACAGTGCACTGTAAAAAATTGTAGTCAAATTCCTATAAATGTATATGAATCAATTCACATATACAGGAATATTCCCAAACACTTCTCTGGCCTGGCGTCGAACTTGACGATTGAGCGCGTTCCATATGGAAGGGCTTTGCATCGTATGCGTACTATGCTATGATTTGGCTGCTGCTTGACGCGATTATATTAAAACTTGAAGAACAAACCTTTTCCGGTCCCTTTTGGGCCTGTGCGACCTCTCAGCGTGGTGGAGGAAAGTGCCGCGTCAGACTAACGCACGTTTTGAACGTTTTTGTGCACAGGAAATGTTGATGTATTTTTATTATCCATGACTATTGCCACACTCTTAAAACCTTACGAAGTATTTTGAGCATACGTATAACAAACTAAAATACTTTGTTATACGAAGAAATAGTTTGGAAATTACGAAGTATTTTCTTTGTAAGCTTACGTATGCTCAAAATACTTTGTTATACAAACTACTTTTCTTTGTAAGGCCCAAAACAGTTTGTAAGGTTTTCTCAGTGCATTCTTGTGCACATGGTGGCTATTTACATTTTACATCATGTATATTAGTGACTCTAGTTCCATATTGTACTTGTAGTATTTTGCAAGTTGTTCCTAATAGTAGTGCATGTACAAATTTGTGCATAATTTGCACCGATATGGCATAAGTTACGTTCAAAAAGTCCTTGGGTATTAAGCGTGTATTCTCTGAATGTTGCAGACATGGCGGCGCGTTTGTGTGTGGGTGTCGACCTCGGCACCACCTACTCGGTGGTGGCGGTGTGGCGCAAGGGCAAGGTGGACGTGATCGCCAACGACAGCGGCAGCCGCACCACTCCCAGTGTGGTGGCCTTCATGGACGGCGAGGCCTTCGTCGGGGACGCTGCCAAGGACCTGCCGCAGGAGTGCAGGGTTTACGGTGAGGCAGGGCCTGACAATCACTGTTAAAGAATGTCAGTTTATATTAATTACATTGCTGTGAAGGTTTGATTATAACAATGTAAGTTCAAATTTCACAACTTTTGTGTCATTTACCTATTTCAATTTTTTTTACTAACAAATTAATGAAACTGACCTCCTATTGACAACTAAATTACATTCTTTTATAACAAAGTGTTAATCGATAGTTAAATGATAGTTTCATTCAATTTAGTGTGATATTTGTTAGAAAGTGTCATTAATTTCACATTTCTTCAGATTCTGGGTGCCTTACCCTTCAAATGCCCTATGAAAAAATTTCCTTCACTCAAAAGATAGTGGCGCTAGTGCCATTCAGACGAAGCTTTCTTCTCGTGTAACAAGGGTTTTCCTTTGTAATCAACAATGCGAATCCAAGTAAAGATTTCGCATTTTGGAAGAATTTTGCCACTTCTTGGTTGTGCTTAAGAATTTAGAATTCTTCGTGGAGAACTTGAGATAAGAATATTATGAACCGAATTCCAATTAAATTTCGAACTTCGCTTGTTCCAACAATACCTATTGTCTCCAACAGTTAGCAATTTCACGCGAATTTTACAATTCAATTAGCGAAGTTAAAAGGTTTTGTTTGGAAATGTTAAGTTATCACGCCCTGCGGTGAGTGCACGGTTTTGTATTTGATTTGAGGCACTCTGTATTTCTTCCCGACAGATGCCAAGCGGCTGTTGGGGTGCTCTGCGGGCGACGCGGCGGTGCGGGACGACGCCAAGGACTGGCCCTTCGAGGTGCTGCAGGACGGCGGCGTGCTCAAGATGAAGGTGGCGAGGGGCGGCAAGACGCTGACGCCGCAGGAGGTGACGTATCACAGTGTGCCAGAAGACCGATGGAAGCGGTCGAAATCCCTTACGCGTTTTGAGCTCCAGAGTCGCTAAATGGGACTCGAACCGAACGTGTGACCCCACCAATGGATTGCTCTTCGAACGAGGAATCCATTGGTGGGGTCACACGTTCAGTTCGAGTGCCTTTGGAGCTCAAAACCCGTCAAGAGTTGTGGCCGTCTCTTCCGGTCTTCTGGCCCACTGTGTGCTCGGCAAACGTTACGTGATAAAGGGGGGACGAACCTTTCTGCCCGCAAACTAAATTTTCCCTTCCATAGTACATAATTTTTTTATCCTTTGAAATTAACGCCCTGAAATTCTTTGAAGTATTTTATTTGCTTCGATTCGCCACGGGACTGCCTTTGCGAGTGAAGCTAAGATACGTGTGTAACTTGTTCCAGGTGTCTTCGATGGTTATGAAGTTTCTGAAAGAGGCTGCCGAGATGTTCATGGATGAGCCAGTGCCCTGTGCAGTCATTACAGTGCCACCGTACTTCACGGAACCTCAGCGAAAAGCCACCAGAGAAGCAGGTTATTTGAGAGCTGTCCTTTGCCAGTGTGGTAGTAAATACTAGCGTTTCGATCGTTCACCTTATTTCCACTGCACATAAATGAATTGCACATTGAGCCATGCGTGCTCAAACGATTATGTAATGTCTTTGCATCCCTTGACAACATTGCCAAAATTTCCCTAAGTATCTTATTTTTTGTAATTTGGGGCTTCTTAGTAAAATAAAATCTTAGCCAAATTTTAGTGATGATCGTTAACTCACGCTGTATTATAATCTTGGTTTTGACTTTTATTCTTAATGCTCACTGACTGATTGGTGCACGGTGGGCCAGAAGACCGCTGGAGGCGGTCCAAGACGCGTTTTGAGCTCCAGAGTCGCTAAATAGGACTCAAACTGTGCGTGTGACCCCACCAGTGGATTGCTCTCCGAACGAGGAATCCATTGGTGGGGTCACACGTTCGTTTCGAGTCCAATTTAGCGACTCTGGAGCTCAAAACGCGTCTGAAGTTTCGGCCGCTGTACTGGTAAAACTGTAAGCGTAGTTTCCTCTGTGCTGCAGTGCGGGTCGGGTTCAAGTGCTGGAAATCCAAGGCGACCCGGGCTCAGGCCGGGGGCCCAAAACGGTCCCTGGTCTAAACATGGGGGTTTCCAGAGTACGCCCTTTAGGCTCCAGGGGGCGAGCCGTCTTCAAGCGGTAACCCTTTAATGTCTGACTTTAAAGCATGCACTTACGCTTTAGTTTTATAGTTGTCTTTCCCATGTAATCTCCTTTTCTCTGTGCTGCAGGTGCGGCGGCGGGCTTCCAAGTGCTGGGCATGCCGGACGAGGCCGAGGCGGCGGTGACTGCCTACGGCCTGGCGGGCAAGACGGTGCTGGTGCTGCACATCGGCGGCCGCTCTCAGTACGCCTGGGTCAGGCCGCACGGCGGCGAGGCCGCCACCAGGCACGCGGCCTGGGGAGGCAGCCTGTTCGACCAGCGGCTCCTCGAACACTTCGAGAATGTAGGTGCACTATAAAATCCCCTGTTCAATTTCTGTATGTTGTCTCCCCCGATGTTTCGGATATACGTGCTTTTCGCGCACGTTAGTCTGCAATTTCTTCTAAATTTGCTAAAATCGCGAAATTTAGTCGAATTTACCTGAAACTTTCCTATTATCCGTGAAATTTAAGTCGAATTCTAGTCAGTTCTCTTGAAAATTTGTAAGTTGTTGTCGGAATTCACAATATCACGTCCAAAATAAGTGACTTTCATATCGAAGTTTAGTGAAATGTGGCTGCAATTCACTCAAATTCATCACGCCAATTTGTTTCTTATGTACTATTTAGTACGTGCTGATGCATGATTTTACTGTGCCGTTGTGCCTGAAATTGTGCTCAAATCTGCTCAAATTGATGCATTTCTACGCATAGTATTACACAAATTCCACGTTGCGCAAAATCGTGTTCATTACACGTTGCTCAAAATCGTTTAAATTACACGTTGCACTAACTCGTGTAAGAAACACGTTGCACTTTAATCGTGTAAATATCACGTTCAAATTTTTACGTAGACATGTGATCTGAAATTTATGAGGAATTTTAAATATTTGTTCACTTAAATTCAAAGTTGTTTGTTCCCTCTCTTGGCAGGACATCCGGCAGAAGCACGGCGTGCAGCAGCTGGACCCGCAGTCGCTGGAGGAGCTCCTCGCCCTCTGCGAGACGACCAAGAGGAAGCTGTCCGCCCTGCAGGAGGTGGCCGTGCGCGTGTACCTGCAGCAGCCCAACCTGGAGTACAAGGCCACCATCAACCGGGCGCGTTTCGAGAACCTCTGCGCCGACCTGTTCGGCAAAGTCCAGGACCTCATGGAGGGCGCGCTGGCCGCGGCCAAGGTCAGTGCACAGTGGATGTGCCGGAAGGCCGGTGCCGGTGGCCAAAACTCGAGACGCGTTTCGAGCTCCAGAGTCACCAAATGGGATTCAACGGAATGTGTGACCCCATCAATGGATTCCTCGTCCGGAGAGCAATCCATTAGTGGGGTCACACGTTAGGTTCGAGTCTCATTTAGCGGCTCCGACACTCCAAACGCGTCAAGAATTTTGGCCGCCTGCACGGGTTTTCCGGCCTACTGTAGTTTACGCGATTGGAGTTCGGTGGAGAACTTTTCATTTTGCCATTGTCGCAGTTTTGAAGTAGAAATACTTTTAAGAATTGTCTGGGAGCTATCTGGGTAATGTTTTCAGTGACGGAATCTGTAGTGTTTTTATCTTCTGTTTGTGTCCTCCAGGTGACTGCGGTGGACGAGGTGGTGCTGGTGGGCGGCTCGACGCGCATGCCCCGCGTGCGGTCCATGGTGCGGGAGGCGTACAGCGAGCCGCGGGTGTCGGTCAACCCCGACGAGGCCGTGGCGCACGGCGCGGCGCTGCACGCGGCCAGGCTGTCGGGGGAAGTCCCCGCCAACACCGGCGTGGTGCTCGTCGATGCCGAGGTGCACCAGCGCACCGAGACCGTGCAACGGGACGGCGCAGGGCCCAGCGGTGCCGGACCCAGGAACCCGCCGCCGCCGCCAAAGAGCAGGACCAAGGTCAGTGACCGCTCTCTGCTCAAACTGAACAGTTCAGTGCGTCAGAAGACCGGTGCATGCGGCTTAAACTCAAGACGCGTTTTGAGCTCCAGAGTCGCCGAATTGGACCAGAACCGAACGTGTGACCCCACCAATGGATTGCTGTTACATGTCGCATGTTCGGTTCCAGTCCCCTCCAGCGACTGTGGAGTTCAAACCGCGTTTAGATTCTTAAATTATATGGCGTTTGGAGCGCCTGCGAAGTTGGGATGCTGTCCCGTTAAGCGTGGGTGTGTTGCGGGCTAGCCTACCTGGAGGTTCGCAGGCGCTCTGCTCCCGGCGCCGGCCGTGCGCACTCTTGCTAGGTCACACCTTATCCTTACGTTAAACTTAAATTCTTTCTCTAACGAATGTACTTTTAAGTGCCCTTAATTGATGTTATTGAACGCTCTTTGAGCCAGAAAATTGGTGGAGGCGGCTGAAATTCCAGACGCGGTTTGGAGATCTAGAATCGCCCAACAAGACTCGAACCGAACGTGTGACCCTCACCAATGGTTTCCTCCATTGGTGCGGTCACACGTTTGATCCGAGTCCCATTTAGCGACTCTGGAGCTCAAAACGCGTCTGGAATTTCGGCCGCCTCCACCGGTCTTCTGGCCCACTGTGGAACGTCCCCTTTCTCAGGGGGCCGATGGGCCAGCCATCGGCATCGACCTCGGCACCACCTACTCGGTGGTGGCGGTGTGGCGCAAGGGGAAGGTCGACGTGATGGCCAATGAAAGCGGCAGTCGCACCACTCCCAGTGTGGTGGCCTTCATGGACGGCGAGGCCTTCGTGGGGGACGCTGCCAAGGACCTGCCGGCCTCGACGAGGGTGTTCGGTAAGTTTCTAGCACACTCTGAAAACCGTACAATGTTGTAGCCCTTTCTAAGAAAAGTAGCTTGCTTTATTTTTCGAAGTATTTGTGACTAAAATTTAGCCTTCAGTACACGTGCGGCCCGTTGTCTACGACACTGTGAGAAAAAAGTACGGAAAAAGTACGAAACATGTCTGGTCAATAATTTGCCTGGACCGTCCGTACTAGCCAATTACGGAACTTCCGTACTTTTCTTCCGTACCCGTTTACATAGGTTCAAATGGAGCACGTACGGACGTTCCGTACTTTTCTCCGTACCATCCTATCATATTTTACTGTACTATTTCCGTACGAAAGTACGGAACTTTTTACTGTGCAGTTCTATTTGCAACTTTGCCCTTGTCCGGCAGATGCCAAGCGGCTCATCGGCCGGTCCTGGGAGGACATGGACGTCCAGCAGGACCTCAAGCACTGGCCCTTCCAGGTGGTGGAGGAGGGCGGCGTGCCCAAGATAGTCGTCGACGCGGCCGGCCGGAAGGAGAGTTTCACTCCGGAGGAGGTACAGTGCACAGCGGAGCAGAGAAGACCGGCGCAGGCGGCCTAAACTCTATACACGTTTTGAGCTCCAGAGTCGCTAAACACGACTCGAATCGAGCGTGTGACCCCACCAATGGATTCCTCGTTCGGAGAGCAATCTGTTGGTGGGGTCACACGTTCGGTTCGAGTCCTATTTAGCGATTCGGAAGCAATGCGTCCGCCTCCACCGGTCCTCTGCTCCACTGTGCGTGGTTCAGGGTTGTACTCCCAGTCATTCCTAATCCTTCACATTGTTTATGGTTTACGGATCTGGGCTTACGTTTTTCAATGCACGAATTTGTGCGTAGCCAAGCAGGATAGAAGCGCCTTATGCGTCTTTTTGCGCAAGATTTCGTTTATTTCATGCATATGCTTAACTTCGTGCTAATGAGCTAAGATTTAAAAAGTTTCCCCTTTTCTATGTCTGCTGCACATCTACTCAATTAATCCACTTGCAGGTTTCGGCTATGGTTCTGCGGTCGCTGAAGGAGACAGCTGAGAACTTCCTGGGGTGCCCCGTGACCAGGGCCGTGGTCACCGTCCCGGCCTACTTCAACGAGAAGCAGCGGCAGGCCACCAAAAGCGCGGGTGAGCTTGGTCTCGGACTTGGTGTCCCCTCACTCATCAGAGACTCCTCGACTGTCTACTCCTTCACTTTTACGAAAATTGAGTCGTTCAGAGTGCTTAGTTTTCTGATATTGCGTTGACCCATGGGTTGACCCACCTGCGTTTGACTGTCACAATTCCTCCGTGCTTTGTTCAATTTTACCATTATGTCAAACTTTAAATCTTCTTCTTAACATAAAAATGTTAAAATAACCGGATTATATCTAATATATTTTAATTTTCTTTAACAAGGGTCAATTATGAGTTTGAGTTACTGTACATGTCTAGATTTAAAGCTTCCTCGGTGTAAGATAAACTTTGGTTTCCAAGTGCGGTTTTCGAGTCTTATGAAGCAGCTGAAGTTTTTGTTCTCTTATGCACTGGTAAAACTAAAGCGTACTATTACGCCCTTCGTGAAGCGTACAGCCAGTACGCCCTTCTTGAAGCGTACAAGAGTTCATGCGCTCCTTTCTTCCTATCTAAATGCATGGGGGAATTGCCTTGAAGCGTAGTTGTACGCTTCAAGAAGGGCGTACAGTCTTGAAGCGTAGTTGTACGCTTGAATGAAGCGTACAACTACGCTTTAGTTTTACCAGTGTTGTGATTTGAATTTAACGCAGTTACTTTTGTTTGTCCTCGTGCAGGCATGATCGCGGGCTTGAACGTGCTGTCCATCATCAACGAGCCCACGGCGGCGGCCCTCGCCTACGGCCTGACCAAAAGCCCGGCCCAGCAGAAGACCGTCTTCATCTTCGACCTCGGCGGCGGCACGTTCGACGTGTCGGTCTTGACCATCAGGGGGAACGACTTCACCGTGCTGGCCTCGGACGGGGACACGCACTTGGGAGGGCAGGACTTCGACGTCCGCATGATGGAGCACTTTTTGAACGTAAGCACACGGTAAAAACGGTTCCTGGTTTTCCCAGGAATTCCCTTGAAATCACCTATGTCACCATAGACTTCCTACCGTGCAGTTTGTGATCAGTAAGTTAGTAGCTTGGAATGGGGCATCATTTCTGCTCTACGCTTGATACAGTTGTTTGCTTGAATGTAGCTTGCAAGTACACCTCAGTTATACCAGTGTATCGGAACAGCTTCACTGAAAATGAAAGAGTCATCAGGACTAAAATTTTGGGCGAGGTATTCGTCATTGCCCATAGTTAGGTGAGAACCATTTTATGGCCCTAATTTGGTCGAGGAAACCATGTTCACCCGAACTTGGATGAGGATACTACCTGGCCACCCTTACCTTACCCAAATTTGGGCGACAATATAATTTTCATCCAAATTTGGGCGACAAAGAATACCTCGTTCAAAATTGGGTGTCGATCGAGACTTTTCCATTCCCAGTATTCTCAGACGCACTTCTCACACTCACCTTGCTCCGCAGGACATCAAGACCCGCCTGGGCATCTCCGACCTGGACCAGCAGTCCGTGCAGGACCTGCGCGCCCTGTGCGAGCTGTCCAAGCGGAAGCTCTCCTCGCTGCACGAGGCCTCCGCCAAGCTCTACCTGCCGCGCCACAACACCAACTACACTGCCTCCATGACCAGGGCGCGCTTCGAGGACCTCTGTGGCGATCTGTTCAGGAGGACCATGGACATCACCAACAGGGTGCTGGCCGAGGCGCGGGTTAGTCTCATTTCTGCCTCTTCCTCTGTCCCTCCCCTCCCTCCCTCCCCTCCGTCCCTCCCCTCTGTCCCTCCCCTCTGTCCCTCCCCTCCGTCCCTCCCCTCTGTCCCTCCCCTCCGTTCCTCACCTCTCTTCCTCCCCTGGCTTTTCCTCCCCTCTGTCTCTCTTTCCCTCTATCTCTGTCCTTCTCTGCCGCCCCCCCCCCTCTCTCTGCCTCCCTCTCACCCCTCTCTGTCGCTCACTGCCCCCTCCCCCCCCCCCCTCTCTCTCTCTCTCTCCCTCCTCTCTCTCTCCTCTCTTCTTCTTTCCCCCTATTTCCCCCTCTCCTCCCCCTCTCTTCCCCCCCTCTTCCCCCTCTCTCTCCCCCCTCTCCCCTCCCTCCCCTCTCTCTCCCCCTCTCTCCCCCCCCTGCATTTCAAAGCGGCGTTCCATAGTATTTTCTCCTTATTTGTGACGACATCTGCGCTGACTTTCAGGTGAGCCACGCTGACATCGACGAGGTGGTGCTGGTGGGCGGCTCGACGCGCATCCCCAAGGTGCGCGCCATGCTGTCCGAGCTGTTCGGCGGCAAGGAGCTCCGCCACTCCGTCAACCCCGACGAGGCCGTGGCGTACGGCGCCGCGGTGCACGCCGCCATCCTGTCGGGGGACAAGACCGTCGAGAAGCTGGTCAAGCTCAAGGACGTGACCCCGCTGTCCCTTGGCGTCGAGGTTGTCGGAGGAGTCTTTTCTGCCTTAATCCGGAAGAACAGCCCGATCCCCGTGAAAAACACCAAGCGCTTCTCCACTGTGCAAGACAACCAGATTCAATGTGGATCTTTTGTAAGTTCATTGATAAAAATTATGTCGTTACTTAATGACACATTCATTGCTAACTTTCTTAGCGACATGTTTTATTTTGGAACAAATAGCTTTTTACCCTGTTGTATTGTAACGAACGGATAATTTAACAACATCAAACTTTAACTTTCAACATCATAATTAACAGCCCACCTTGTCTGCGACAAATATTGATTGTGTATTTTTGTAGCAGGATTAATTTTGCATGATTTTACTTCTAACAATATCAATCTCTCTATGACTTTGGAAAATCGAAATAAATTATGACTCCAGTTAAATTTTCAGATATTTTAGTGAAATTGCAGCGTTATAGTGGTGTAAACAAGTATTCTGTTCTTGTTTGACTAAATGTCGATTTCTAGGTTCAACAATGTTTTTGAAAGACAAAATTTTCACTCATACCCTTTTTTTTCGTAGAACCATTTTTCCCAGAGTATTTCCTGTTTACTCTGTATTAGTATCGATTCGATCCTTAAGTGAAACCACCTTTTCACTTTTCGAAGCCTTTACCTGAATCCCATCTTTCTAGCGCTCTTCCATGTGGTGCCCTCGTTGCAGGTGTATCAGGGGGAGCGCACGTTCGTGAAGGACAACCACTGCTTGAAGGAGTTCACCGTGGACGTCCCTCCCAGGCCTGCTGGTCTAGCCACTATCGACGTGACGTTTGAAATCGACCTGGATGGCTGCCTGATTGTGACGGCTGTGGAGCCCACGACAATGAAGCAGGCCCAGGTCAAGATCTCTTCTGTTGAGTCGCGTCTCAGCGATCAAGACATCCACGAAATGCTGGAAAAAGCGAAGCGCTACCAGCGCCAGGACGATGAAGAGCTTAGGCGTCTGGAAGAGTTACTAAGAAACCGGCAAGAGTTATAAAACATTTTTGTTCTTGTTTTTATTGGTTTTGAAAAAGAAGAGAAAATAGTGTCTATTGTTTTTGTTGTTTTGTTTTTATTGGTTTTGAAAAAGAAGAGAAAATAGTGTCTTTATTGTTTTGCATCTGAATCGTGATAGAAGATTGTTCCTCTGATAAAAATAAGTGTCATCTGTTGATGCATCTGAAGCATGAACTGTTGCTGTCCTTTAAAAATAAAATAAAAATCTTGTATCTCAGTATGGTAACATGTCCTTTAATGTTTGATTTTGATCCGACTTATGCTTTAAGTGAAGTGTCAAATTTGGAGGTAGTGGACTCATCTCGTCAAATTTATGAATACAGTATTGTTTTTATATTCCGATGTCAGCAGTGTGTTATTCTCCCGGGCAGATTCTCAATTCTTTATTGGAGCAGCTTATTAAGATATATGAAGGATTCTTGTTTGCTCCTTTAATTTACGTTGACCTGTTTACATTGTATAAATTAATGTAGGGGCTCTCATGCCCCCACATCTGTTGTTTCTAGGTTTATCCTTACTTATCCTCTATCCTTACTCTTCATGGTGTTGTCTCTAGAGGTGTGATCTCAAATATTAGGACACGACGACATGGAGACAATATGATTAAGTTTGGACGAGGGTTTAATCCTGGGTAAAACATAGTGCACATGTACTGTGGAAACTTGTTTATTTTAACAGAGTCAATGACACGGGAAACGAAAATATGGAATCAGGTACAATTAGCCTCTAGTGTCTACTCTACATCAGATTGAGGCTGCTCTAGCAGTGCAGAAGCTACTGCATAGCAATAAAAGGTAACTTACATAAAGAAACCTAAAATTAGAAACAACGCAACTCTTCTCTAATGAAACAAGGTTTGTGGGAGGCGACCATCAAGGCTCAAAACACGTGTTAAAATCTTACAAGTGATAATAAAGTAAATAAACAAACAATTTACAGTAATACAGTATCTTATTGAATTTTTCAACACTAACTAATGAATGCAGTCGTCAACTATCCATTCTTATCCCAGTAGTTAAGAAAACAAGGTGCAATTAGATTTTTTGGCAGGGGTGCATGTAAGGTACACATAAATTAAAAATTTTAATTTCATCCGTCATTTTGACAATCAAAAATGTATTATTACTGTCTTCAAATTTGAGTCATTTTACAGTTTACAAAGAGATTTCTTTGCAAATCTTAGAAAAAATCTTTAAAAACATTATATGTGCAAAGTTGCAAATAAAATTCTTCAGAAGCTTGCCAAGAACTTGTTTGCGTTATGATCCCGTTATTTTTGCAGCCTGCGGAGAAGTTTAATTGCAATGCAAAGTTTTTCTTTGCAAAGCTTTTTTCACTTTGTAGATCCCCTCCTTTGAAATAACCGTGGTTTATGAACAGTCCCCAGAAAATTTATAACAATTACTCTTTACTCTATAATCAACAAACTAATTTGGCGAGCCATAAGATTTAGCTATAAGTTGATTCGTATACATGTTAGCTTAGCAACAAGAATCGGGTACCATCAGTCTAAGATTGGGCGCGATCGCTGCAAGTGTCGTGGTGGCTCGGATGGTTGAGGCGAGAGATGGCACGAGAAGGTTCTGGGTTCGACTCCCAGCCAGGTTGATCTTTTCCCCACCCTTCTTCTCATATCCGGTACCATCACTCTAAGATTGGTCGGGTCCGCAAGGTATGTGTCGCCGTAGCGCAGTGGGCAGGGCGGCGGCACGACAGTTCTCTGAGGCCCTGGTTCGCCACCAGGTCGGTCTGTCTGGGAGTATTCCCGGGACTGAATTTCCATATACCCTTTATGATGCCTCTACTCCACCCTCCCTTCGGGGTGGGGACCCGATGAGGGGAACTCTTTTGCCTCTTCAAGAGGGGAAAAACGCGAGTTTGCTTTTCTTATAGCCAGGATGGCGCTGATTTCTTATCACCGCACGGTGACGTGTCGGATGGGTGGCCTACCGTCACGGCTCTGCGCACTGAGCAATGTCGCCGTGAAGGTAGACCTCCCCTTTGACACGAGATCTCGATCGAGATTGTGCCTGAAAGGTACGCCACTCAACCTGCGTGTAAGTTTCGTTTCTGCCTTTGACCGCGTTTTCTTAACGCTCTGTGCCACCGAGACACTTGCGTGCGTGTTTCGACCAAATTGAGATTGATGGTACCGAATGGACTGGGTTTAAAAGTAAACTGAGACTGATGGTACCGGATTCTTGTTTAATATTACATACATTTCATTATCCTACATACTTCCAAGATAACCAAGAACAGTCCCTACATACATACATCTCTGTCCTGGCTGCACCCACAAAGGCCTTGAGCTGGTGTGTAATACATGTAAGCCTAAGATGCGCAATACAGACATGAATACAATCTTGATATTTTGGATCATAGAGAATGGACAGAGGGTACCTCACTTCGAAAATACGTGCACATTGACTGGTGACAAGATAGAATTTCTACTTCGATTAAACTGAAAATCTCCCGTTACAAAAACGCGATTCTGTGCCGGCTTTAAAAGTGACAGTCACTGGAGTCAGGGGTGAGGCGCCGCCCCTTGAAATGTACTATGGGAGTTGGATAAGGACAAGGGGATGAAGCTGCTGGCAGAGTGGGGTCCTGGCGCCTGGTGCGTAGGCAGCCCATCGTGCTGTAGCGTGGGCTGCCTCTCTTCACGGCGCTTGGCACGGCCATGAGGGCCCGCATTGCCATCGTGGTGGGGCCCTAGGCCCATGGCAGCGATGGCCTCAGGGAAACCGCACTCGACAAAGGTGAGAAGGGACCGGGACCAGTCGCAGTGAAGATCTTCAGAGCGTCGTGTTGAGATGGCAAGGGTTGGCGACGAACTGCAGTTGGACAGCGACCGCCTAGCGCCTGGCCTGTGGACGTCTTCGATGCGATGGAACGTCCTCCAGGTCGTCGTCGTCTCGGTGCTGGCCGTCGAGCCGAAGCAGTCGGCATCCCACAGTGGGCCAGAAGACCGGTGGAGGCGGCCAAAACTCTGAACGTGTTTTGAGCTCCAGAGTCCCATTGAGCTACTCTGGAGCTCAAAACGCGTCTACAGTTTTGGCCGCCTCCACCGGTCTTCTGGCCCACTGTGCATCCCCGCAGACTCGCACGCCTCTTGGACTACGATGGATGAGACTGTGGACAGAGAAAAAAGTTTAATTGCATTGCACAGGGAACACTGTATATCTGCCGTCATGTTTATTCATAATCATGCTGATTGAGGTCCTGTTGCTTTGAAAGTTATGGCATTTGTTGGGATAATGATTCACGTTTAAGTGACTGCCTCATCCTAAAGTTTGTTTAAAAAGAAAACAAAAACACACATGTGCTTTGTATTGGCTCGAATCTGAGACATTGGGTACGACTCGTGTGTTAAACCAACTGTGAGCTTTGCTAGAATAAAATAAGTCAGAACGAGTTGTTTTCACTAAAAATCATGACGAACCTCCTTCAGCTGAGCGAAGTTCTAGAGATATTTCTTGAGAAAATCAACCCAGTTTCAGTCACTGGTGTCTTTTCTTCGTAGTGAAACACTGCAGTAAATAGCGCAAAGTACCCCTGCACACTGTTAGAAATTCTGTCGTAAATTAGCGACAAAAAAGTCGCTAATTTTCATAGCGACGGAAATCGTTCTTAAACTACTTCGTCGTAACTGAACGACTAAAAAATCATTTCTCTGCGACAATGTCGTAATCACGATTACATATTTTGACACCTGAAATCCCCGAAAAGTTGGTGAAAAGTTACAATTTGGTCACTTATTTACGATTTGTGTCGTTCATTTACGATTCATATCACACATTGACGACAAGAGTCGTTAATGTACGACTGAAGTCATAACTGAACGACATATGCGAAAGACAATTTACGATTGTTCGTAGACTTACGATTAAGTCGTAAATTTACGACTTAATTCGTTTTAAAACGAAACGTGTCGCTATCAAAATTAGCGACAAATATGTCGTACATTTACGATTCAAGTCGTATATTTACGACTTGAGTCGTAACAAAATCTGTCGTTTAAAAACGACATAATTGTTCTACAAAATGTCGTAAATTTACGATTATTTTTAACAGTGCAGGAGTGATTTCTGCGTCAGCCCTACACTGCACCTCCACACACGTCGGTATCTCACCTCTGGATTTGCAGCGTAGACAAAAGGAGGAGCCTTGATGAACATCACCATCGCAGCGCAGACGCCTCACGGTCCTCGAGTGGTGACAGCATGGTGAACTCGGTCCTCGAGTGGTGACAGCATGGTGAACTCCCGCGGAACATGCTGAAAGCACTGCAAACCGAAAAAAAAAATTAGCTTTACGATAGTGGACGTCCATTTTTTACGTTACGCACTTAGAAAGATGGGGGGGGAGGGGGGGTGTAGGTCTGGTCTGCGTAACGCAGTATGCACACTCTTAAAACCTTACGAAGTATTTTGAGCATACGTATAACAAACTAAAATACTTTGTTATACGAAGAAATAGTTCGTAAATTACAAAGTATTTTCTTTGTAAGCTTACGTATGCTCAAAATACTTTGTTATACAAACTACTTTTCTTTGTAAGGCCCAAAATAGTTTGTAAGGTTTTCTCAGTGCATGGGGGAACAGGGGGTTCGAAATAGCGTAACTTTACGCTGAACACCAAATGTGAGAGAACATCCCAGCCGCCAAATTATGCGTAACGCACACTGTGAGGGGTCTGGGCTTGCGTAACGCCGCCTTACAATGGGGACGGAGGGGGGGGGGTCAAAGTGTACAAAATTAACTACTGCGTAACGTCATTAATGGACGGCCCCATACAATAAAAAAGCGACGAGCCTTCCACGAAAGAGATAAAAATTTCAACGACAAAGTGTCACATAACAATTTGATATCAAATTATTGCAGGAAAATTTTAAGTCGAATCGAGCAAATTTGAATATTTTAAAAGGACGAGCGTACTTTGAGGGTACTTGCTTTTTAATTACTTTCCTTCACTCGGCGACGGTTGAAAGGGTCTATTTCGCAGTGCTGTCTTACCTTGTCGACGGAGATGGGTAGAAAAGCCGCATCTCTGCCCAAGAGGCACTTGGCAAGTGCTCAGCCAAGGACGTCCTGGCCGGGAGCAGGGCTGGAGAAGCAGGGCAGGGCGGGCGGCTGTGCGTCCAGAGTCTCGTCGAAGCATGGCGTGGGCGGGCAGAGGGCAGGCAGCCGACCCTCTTCCAGACCAATCAGGGAGTCATCCCTGTCGGCGAGTAAGAACTTCGCCGGACAAGGAAGGGCTGCTCCAGGCAGCAGGTTAGGCCAGGGGCAAAGGAAGGACGCTAAAGATTGGCTCGTTTTGGGAGCGTTAGGATATTGAATTATTAGATCTTGAAGCGTTACAGTTGCATCGCAAGGCCCTGGTTGATGACCCAACATGAAGAACCTTCTCAGCTTGTGCCTGCAGCCGAAATCTTCAAATATTTGCCTAAGGTTCGCCGCACGCAATCGCTCTTAACCTAAAACTTACTTTAGCAAACTTTTTAGACAGAGTACAAAGAATCTTCTGAGATATTTTTCAACATTTTAGAAGTTTTAAGTTTTTCCCAGACGTTACAAATAACATGTACACACATTCTTAGGTAAGTTTTTCTATTCTACCCGTGGTCTTAAAATAGGTTAAGAATATTTTATTTATTTTTATTTTTGAAGAGTTTTTGTTTGTTTAACTTTGCTGTTATGTTATCCACCAGTGAGTTAGACGTTGGATTTCAGACCTAACCTAAACCGGTAGCCGGTCGTCTTTACAGAGTATGAGAGAACCCCCGGGGCCGGGTTCTACCGACCTATAACCAGCAGCCCTTCCGCGGGGGTGTACAACGCCCTGGGGCGGTCTACGAGGGCAAGGGTTCACCGGACCTATAGCCAGGTGCCCTTGCCCTAGGGTCATTAACCCCTATGCAACCCCCTTCTCCCTTTGCCTGTTCCTAATCCCACCCAAGGAGAACGGAATCGTCACGAAAAGGTCACCGTGAGCTGCAGGTGATGGATTTTCGTCACGATTTGAGCACATATGAGGTCACATGTGACCCGAAATCAGCTCACGATGAGCTTTTCGTGACAATTCTGTTCTCCTTGGGCACTTTTGCACTGCAGCTACCTGTTATTTATGATGTACCTCAGAGTGTATACTGTACCCAGCACTCCACACTGTGCGAAAAAAACACGGTGAATCCCGTTAATGTTTTTGCAGGGATTTACTGAAACATTCCCGCCTCCACCCACCTACCCTTCCCCACCCCTTCCCTCGTACCCGTGTCATCGGTGTCCCTCCCCTCATCTTATGCCCAGATTAACAGGAAAAAGACTTCATGGCAGAAATGTCGCTTTAACCCTTCTCCATTCGTCAAAATTTTCGGATTGCCAGTGAAACAAGTGAAGTTATACCTTTAGCCCGTGTGCAAACTCCTCTCCCCTCGCCGCCTGTTCCCAACCCAAGTTTTGTACTACAGCCGCAAGTAATTTACGATGTACCACACAGTGTGTACTGTGTGCCCCGTAGTCCGCCAATTCCAATTAGCACGACGCCTTCGCCTTCCAGCTGATCAACACCCACACGCGTGCCCCTGCGCTCTGCTTGACTCCGACGGTCAGACACGATTCCACCAATTGGTATCGTATTTACTCACAAATCTGACATCGGCTCAACGAAAGCGCATATTCGCGCAAGCGTTGCTGGACGCCGTGGTGATGCACCACAAATCTGAACTCCCCCGTCGCACTCCGTAACCGCAGAAGACCCGGCAAAAATTCACCCCCTTCTTTGCCAACTCTTCCTCCTCCCCCTTCCTCCCCCCCTCTTCTTCGTTCCCGTGCCTTCCTCCCCCTATTTTTTAATGAACCGACATTAAGCGTTTCAAAATTAAAACCTTCTGGGGAAAAAAAAAAAAATTATTTGCAGACGACATCTGTGCCCGGATGCAAGCCTTGGAGCACCGGCATTACACTCCTATACCTCTCCCGTGCGTAATTTGCACGGAAAGCGTCCAATACAAGAAGAGGTATGCCACTGAACGGCCCAAGGACGTCCATTCAACGTGGGAGGCGGTGCCTACCGAGGACCTCGATTCGAGGGTCTGTGTTACCGAACAACAGGCCTACTCGATCGAGGAAATCAAAACGCCGCCTTACCAGGACTACAGGGGGCGCCGTCAACGCCGGCGGAGTCACAGGCAAGTGTTCCTGACGCCCCAGGGTACTCCTTACGAGTCTTTGTACAATGGGGCCCGGTTTTTCTTAGGTAAAAATTGCGCTTGCTCCGCCGTCATATGCGCGGACTGCGCTACCGCTTGGCGCCGCGGGGCTCCACGAAAATCTTCGCCCCGATACTGGGACAGGCGTTCCACCTGCCCTCAGTGCCGCCAACCGGTGGCGTTCGGAGTTAATTGCAAAGCTTTCATTACCGGTGCTGATAGGGCTGAGTACATAAATTTGTACTCCCAAAAAATCCGTAGGTGCTCTTTGAGCTTGTCCCCTCTAGAAAGCACTTTGCCGCAGACTCTTTGAGCTTGTCCCCTCTAGAAAGCACTTTGCCGCAGACAGGACACGGTGTCAGCATGTTTTCAGGTTGCGCAACGCAGCCTGCACGACGCATTACGTTGTAAACATTATGTTCACTTCTAATATACTTGGAAAATTTTCCAGTCGTCACCCTCAAGGGTTGTGCACGATTATGTTCATTTTTCAGCGAAACTAGGGCTGTGTATCCTAGCGTTGTAACTCTGCCATCTGATTTGCAGACTGATGGGCGTTTTTTCTAGGTTTCAGGTTTTTAATGTAACAACCACTTAGATTTTGTCTTAGTCTGCACGGTGCCTCAAGATGAAAATGTGAGTGTTACACAGCCGTGCCTTGTTTTAAATAACCTTTGCGTAGGCAACCCGCCCATCATTTTTGTTACGTGTCCCTGTACATGGACACAACGGGGACGTTAGGATATTTTATTATTGGTCTACGAGGACGTAGACATGGACACAACGGGGACGTTAGGATAAAGTTAAATGGGTCAGAGGTACCCCCACTGTTGGTCACCCGAAATGCGTAGTTGTGGGTGATCCCCATTGGGTACCGATGACGAATTGTATTGTGATTGGTGCGAGTCAGCTTGGCCGAATAGAAGGGGGAATTAATTAGTCGCGCCGAGGCTTCGTCGCCTCGGACAGCGCGACGAGTCGGTCAGAAGAGTCCCACCGCTTGACCGGTTCACCACCTCTTCCCTTCCGGCCCAACTGCTCGCAGCCGGACTATCTCCTGGTAATTAGCATACGGGACTTAGAATAGTTTCGTCCTGTTGTTAACGGACTTAGGATAGTCGTGTCTTGTGCCTGTAACCTGTGCCTGGGTGAGCTAGTCCACCAATCCTAGCCAGCTGTGAGCTCCTAAATTCTAGACCAAATAAATATATAAATATCTTACAGCCTCTTATTAATCCTTTACTCCTGAGACCACACAGGGTGCCTTTACCCTTGACAAACCCAAGAGAGAACTAGAGAATCGACACACACCAAAAGACCACACAGTCGAAAAGACCCGAGCATAACGACACCTTTTCAGTTCTCTTTTCTTCTTTTGTCTTCTTTTTTACCTCGCGCCGTGCCTTTCGCCCCCCTCCCTTTCTCTTTTCTGTTCGCACACTTTTGCCTCCCCTTTTCTGTGCGTCCTCTTTCACTCGCCCTCCCCTACTCCACCGTGTTGCATTTTCCACTCTTTTATCACCCCTTGATGGTGGCATATTATTTATTTATACCGCAGTGGGCACAAATCCAAAACATTTGCCCGTGGGCGCACCCCCTCCAAGGGTTATTGGATTTCACCGTTTTTATCTTTCGGACCCGTTGCAGTGGGCATAATTCCTTTCGGTACTGGCATGCATTTTGGTCATATTTGGCCAAAACTGCGTAGGAATAACATGAAAATAGACAAAATAAAAAGAGGAAAAGAGTCTTGTCTCAAGCTCCAATAGGTTCCTCTAAAATGTCTCCCCCGTACCATTTGATGGTTACGCTGTGGTTCGAGCAAAATTCGCAGAATGGGGGTGTACTGTTCTCTTCTCCCATAGATGGTTGTGTGTGTGCACTCTCCCATTCCACTTGTCTTATTGACCATGTCTCCCCCGTACCATTTGACGGTTACGCTGTGGTTCGAGCAAAACTCGCAGAATGGGGGTGTACTGTTCTCTTCTCCCATAGATGGTTGTGAGGCGCTGGAGCTGCGCCGACGACAGCGCGACGAGGCAGCAGCAGAGCGCCGCCGCCTCGCCGCCCGCACCACGGCCACGGCGTCGCCACGGCGCCCAGACGCGACGCCACCAACGGAACTGCCAGTACCCGCGACATTCTACCACGTGGGTAGACTGGGGACTGGAGACAGTCCCGGGTGGTGGAGCCAGAGACCACTGGAGCCAATACACGGTATTACAGCCAAAGTGTTGTTCCTCTCTGCAAGCTCGACGCGAACCCTTCAGGCCGGCCTACCGATCAGGCGGTCCTAGCTCAGGCAGCCTAGCCCTCAGGCCGCCCTGCTTACACTGGCCAAGCGGCCCACACCTACCCACACATAAGGTTGGCCTCCCTGTCAGGCTAACCTAGGCACCCCATTCCCCATTCCCATTCCCGTTGCCTAATTGGCCGTTAGCAAGCAATTTTATTGTCGGTAGAGCATTGGGACTCTTAATCCCAGGGTCGTGGGTTCGAGCCCCACGTTGGGCTAATGGCCAGGGGCCCTACCCCGACTCCCCGGCCCCCCGAAAATCTTCGCCCCGATACTGGGATAGGCGGTCCACCGGCCCTCAGTGCCGCCAACCGGTGGCATTCGGGGTGTGTAGAGCGGCGGTGCCTCTCCCCTTTCCTTGTCCTTCCCGAAAACACGAAAACTACCCCCACCCTTCCCTTCCCTACTCCTTTCCTTCTTCTCCACTTTTTGAACTCGCGGAGCGTAGCAGACCACCAGTGCCTCAGCACCGAGCAGACCGCCAGCCCGATCGTGTCGTACGGCTACTTCACGAAGGACTACGTCGACATGGTCGCCGCCCAGGGCCTGCCTCCACCAGCGTCCGAGCCACCACGACCAGCAGCGGGCCCGGCTCCATGGCGCATCCCGCGCACCACGGCGCCCTCGTCAGCAGCCGGGAGACCCACCACGTTGCCTGCGTAGCTGACCCCGCCGCGCCCCTGCGGGACACCAGCAGCGCCGCCGCTGCATCTAGCCTAAAACTTTTTCTTGTTTACCCTTAGAAATGGATCCAGTCTCTCAAGCCTTGGCACGGGCGCTCATAATCGAGGACTTGGTCGCACCGCTGGTCCCTAAGGACGACCCCTATCTCCGGGACACAATGATACGACTCCAGGTGTCCCTCCGGCACTCCGCCGCCATCTTGGCGGCCGTCTTGGAAGATTTCGATTCGGCACGGCAACTAAGATCTTACTTTGCCTGCCCTTGACGGCGACGTAGCGCGCATCGAAGAAATTTCCGCGCGTCTACGATTCGCCGTCGCGACAGCGGTCGAGACAGCCTGGGCCACGCCGCGCCAGAATCCAACCAACGACGCATCCACGCAAACGGATGCGTCATCCACCGCCCCCGCACGCCGGCTTACCAAGAGTGAAAGGAAGCGGCTTCGACACCTAACAGCCGTCCTTGGTGAACCGGCGCCGTAACACCAAAATTCATCCACCGTGAGTCCAAATGTTTTGTCCTTTTTTTCCATTCCCTCCCGCCTTTTACCAATCTCTTAAAACTGGCTACCTTAGGTTAAGCTGTAAATTGTGTTCAATCCGTTTTCAATCTGCCTCCAGCCTAAACCTTTTTCTTGTTTATCCATAGACATGGATCCCGCCTCTCAGGCTTTGGCGCGTGCACTTATCATCGAGGACTTGGTCGCGCCTCTAGTCCCGACCGATGACCCTTACCTGCGGGACACCATGATCCGCCTCCAGGTCTCGGTGTTCTGAGTAGAGACTCAGAAGGGCTTATGTTCTAAGTGTAACTTGAAGGTTCGCGCCATGTGGACCAGGTTGCCATACTTGGTGCCACGTCATGCAGACTGACAACTGTTGTCCTTTGTCTCCTGCTTGTGTGGACTGGTGTATTCCCCCTTGCACTCATAGAGAGTAAAGTCGTATCAGTATACCGAGTTTAACGAGCCAATGCGCTCGCCTGGCGTAGACACGCCCTAAGTAAACAGTCTCTCGCACGACGGGTTCCCACC